CTTACCTTCACTCTCCTGGCCCCCCAACTTTACTCTCCTGCCCCCCCCCCTGGTTGCTCTGGTAACAACCCCTCTTAACTTCGCTCTCCTGTCCTCCCGTTGCCCTGGTAACGTCCCCCCCTTACCTTGATGACTATTCTCGATTGCCTTAGTAACTATCCTCCTGCTCGTCCGGTTGCCTTGTTAACTACTCTCCGTTACCTCACGGCTTGCCTGCCTCCCTTCTCAAGACTTTCGAGAGTTCAGTAAGAGAAAAGAGGGTTAACGGCCGTTCTCAGGAATCCCTGACCCCCGAGGGTTCTCCCAGCCTCTAGTCCTTCTCGGGCAGTCCTCCTTTGGGAGAGGAGCAGCCAGCTACGCCGAGGAAGCCGCTCCAACCGCCGCCATTACTCTCTTGGTGGCCCCGGCCCATCCAACTGATGGCGCCTTTCGCGCTCTGCTTTCCCATTGGCTCGGGAGAGGATGCCTGGCGCGCTCCTCATTGGCTGAGCCTAAACCCCGCCTCTCTCCGCTCGTCAGGTGGACTCCTCCCTCTTGCTCTTCGGATTGGCTACTGCCATCGGCGCAGGCGCCTTCGCAGGCGGAAGAAGGAACTCGAGGATCGGGGAGTGGGGCGGGGGGAGGAGTTCTTTCGCGGCTCCTTTAAGATTTAAAACCTTAAATGGAAGATTTGAGAGCAAAGCTCTACTGACTTCGATGTTTCTCAGCCTGGCGAATTTGAAGACATGCGTGGACACTTCAACTGCTCAGCCAGCCTTGCAAAAATTTAGACGAGGTTGATTTATGGCTGAGTATGGTGGTTATGTCCACCCAGCCTCTTTATATATCGAATAGAATACAATAGAATAGAAACGCAGGATAGAATAGAATAGAAATGCAGGATAGAATGGAATAGAATAGAATTCTTTATTGGCCAAGTGTGATTGGACACACAAGGAATTTGCCTTTGGTGCAGATGCTCTGAGTGTACATAAAAAGACAAGATACATTCGTCATGAATCATAAGATGCAACACTTCATGATAGTCATAGGGTACAAATAAGCAATCAGGAAACAATATCAATATAAATCTTAAGGATACAAGCAACGAAGTTACAGTCCTGAAGTCATAAGTGGGAGTGATAGGAACGATGAAAGACTAATAGTAATAGCAATGCAGACTTAGCCTTTATGCACCATATATCATTATATGTCATGTGTCATTCATATACTATTCAGTGAGTTGTACAAACGCAAAGCACGGGCTAAGAAGTCCACACCATCTTAAAGCTGCCAAGGGTGAAAAGTACTGACGTCGACTGTGAACGCCGCCGCCCCTTTTGGGCTTTGTGCATCTGCAAAGGGGGGGGGGATGATGGGGTCATTCTACTCATTTCCTAGCTCTACGTTCTCTTCCTCTCTTAAATTCTCTTCCCGTTTCTCCGTCATTGGCCGAGAGCTCTGGAACGCGTGGCGCTGATTGGATGACAGGCAGCCTCGCTTTGATTTTTAAAACTTTAAAGGTCGCGTGTCGCCTGACTGCACTCCGGTCAAAGGGATAAGAGGATTGCGAGCGATGCTTGACTAATTTTCACCTTTGCTTTGTGGTTTAGTGTGTTGTGTCAACCCAGCACATTTGTTAACTGCCCGATTTCAATCTATTGTGCAAACATTAAAAATGGGTTAAAAGAGAGAGAGTGAGAGCCAGCATGGTATAGAGGTTAAGGGTTTTGGCAAAGACTCCAGAGAGATCTAAATCTATTCTCAGCTATAGGAGATCAGTGGGTGCCTTTGGACTTGCCACTCTCTCTCCCTCTCCCTCTCAGCCCAGTCTACATCACAGGGTTGTTGTGCGGAAAATAGGAGGCAGGAGTGATAGCTGAATATCTTTGGAGATTCTCAATCATCCAGGTTTACTTTAGTTTACTTTATTGTCATTGCACCTCATGCAACGAAATGAAATGCCATCTTCAGTGTACATTATAACTATAAAAATAAAACAGACATCCTTCACATTCTATATAATTGAAGTGTAAACCCCTGATATTGCATTAATATTGCACTGTATAGTAGAATTCAATATGGTTACTGCTCTGGGATAGAAGCTGTTTTTCAGCCTGTGGGAAGTTATCATCCAGCCCTCTCCCAGAAAAANAAAGAAAGAAAGAAAGAAAGAAAGAAAGAAAGAAAGAAAGAAAGAAAGAAAGAAAGAGGAATTACCTGAATGATTCCATCAAGCGTGAGCTTGGCCCGCAAAGGTTTGACACATTGTACCAATCTTCAAGAACTGCAGGACACCAGTTTTGAGCACAGGTGAGCTCCTGCTGGACCCATCCTGGACATAAACTCTCTGTTTAACATATATAGATGAAACATTTTTTTAAAAAATAAAAAATAAATACTACTTTATTAGAAAGAAATTGCATCAACTCTTACACGTCTAGATAGAACCTATTTTAGGCAACCCCGAGCAAGAAACACTTAGATATTATAGATGAGCTTGTAATAAAATTGATTATCTCCTTCTCCAACCTAATTTTATCCAGACTTCCTTGAATGGGTTAGGAAATCAAGGTGCCTGGGGGCGTGGACTCGCTGTAGCAAAATCCTAGCAACTCTGAGTTGTTAGGAATATAGAGGCTTTTTATGCTTTACTCTGCACATAGTGACATTTACAATCAGCATTTACAAGACAGTCAAGACAGTCTTCCAAACATGATTGTAACCCTCTGTAGTTAAATCAATGATTCCTTTATTAGGAGCGCCAGCAGCCCCAGCAAAAAGTCTCTCTTTCACAGCAGGCTAACAAGTCTGTCTGGAAGGGAGATGAATAGCTGTCTGCCACATCTGTTCATCTTTGCCCCCTGCCTTTTATATCTGGAGCTGTGGTGGGGCTTTGCTAGCAGCGGTGGCTCTTCCATCGCAAGGACCAGCCCATAGATTTCCACTGCTCTCCTCTCCTCTGCCTTCTGTGCATCAGGCACTGGACCCAGCTGTTCCTCCTCTACCTCATCAGTCACCTCCAGACCTGATGGAGGGTCCAAGCTCTGCCTCTGCCAGCTCCATTCCCTCTTCCCCCTCAGAGCTCTCAGGTTGCCTTGATGCTGACCCTGGCTCCCAGGCCCCCTCATCTGAGTCAGCTGGAGGGCCTGGTGGCTGACAGGCCCCAACAATTCCAAACAGGTCATTGGCCAAGAAAATCTGGCTGTACTGAGACACTGCAAAAGGTTCTTTTTCAGACATCTTGGAACATTTGAAAAAAAACGTGGTAAAAAAAAGATCATGCTTACCAGGACTTGCTTGATGGTCTTCGTCAGAGTCCTCCATAACTTGACGTAGCACGCTGCTCACAACATCTGGCAGACAAAAATCCTCCTCCTCGGACATGTTCTCTGCCGCAAGTGTCTGAAGGAGGGACCCTTCAGCTTCTGTCACTTGTTCAGCAAAGAGCAGGGAAAGAAGTGCAGTGGTGCCAGAGATGGGGGAGAAAACCCCCGTACAAGGAGAATGAGCTCCGGATGAAAATGTCACTTCAGCCACCTTTCCAACAGAAGAGAAACATGAGAACAATGAGGAGATGTACAAACCCTTCCTGGGAAACAAAAAAAAGATGCTTTGAAGGAGGGATTTTGTTTTGACTATCCTTTCAGCAAAGCCTCCTTTGAAATTGATAAGCTGCTCTGTGGCTTCAGTTAATGTCTAAGGTAAAGGTAAATGTTCCCCTCGCACATATGTGCTAGTCTTTCCTGACTCTAGGGGTGGTGCTCATCTCAGTTTCAAAGCCAAAGAGCCAGCACTATCTGAAGACATCTCAGTGGTCATGTGGCCGACATGACCAAACACTGAAGGTGAACGGAACACTGTTACCTTCCCACCATAGTGCTCCCTATTTTCCTACTTGCATTTTTATGTCCTTTCGAACTGCTAGGTTGGCAGAAGCTGGGACAAGTAATGGGAGCTCACTCCGTTATGTGGCACTAGGGATTCGAAACCACTTTGGATATGTCTGATGTTGAATCATGTTAAAACAAAGCACAGTGCAAGTTTACTTAGAGTATTAAAAGTGACTTATGACCGTTTTTTACACTTAGGACCACTGCAGCATCCCCATGGTCAAAATTGGGATGCTTGGCAATTGGTTCATATTTATGACAGTTGCAGTGTCCTGGGGTTGTGTGATCCCCTTTTGCTCTTACAAGCAAAGTCAAATGGGGAAGTCAGATAAACCTAACAACTGAGTTATTAACTTAAGAACTGCAGTGATTCACTTAACAAATTGGCAAGAGAAGTTGTAAAATGGGGTAAAACTCACATAACAAACTTCACTTAACAACATAAATGTTGGGCTCAATTGTGCTTGTAAGCCGAGGACAACGTTCATTTTGCTTATTAATGAAACCTAATCAACATCACCAGGCTTATCAATTACTTATCATGAGATTCACTTTGCAGAACGAAAAGAGAGACTTACCATATGAAGTCCTTGAGACAGAATATATCTTACAAACTGCTGGAACCAAGAAATCTCTCGAGCTGAAGATCCCATCGGCTTACTCCGGAGTGTCCAGCTCTCCGTGTGAAGATTTCTAATGTGCGCTGACTTCCAGTCTGTCATGGTGCCTTTAAGATGTATCGTGACTGTCCCTTCGAAGTGCCTCTGGTTCAGAGTTAAGGGCTCCAGCACCACAGCGCAACTCCGGGCTTCTTCATTTCCTGCCCATTTTAGAGATCAAAAAGGTTATTACTTTGTTTATCAAGCAAGCAAACTTTCTTTAATTTCTGTATGCAGTAATGAATAAAATTGTATGTGTGTGTGTATGTATGTATATGTGTATACATACATACATACACACACACACACAGTATATATATCGTAGTCACGGGTGTAGGTATGCTGGTCTTGTTGTATTCGTGTCTTTTCCCGTATAAGCTTGAGATTGTTTTGGCAACGTTTCGGCACTCCACACACCCCCGCCAAGATTTATAGAGACGGCAGCTCCGACCACGGTTTACTCGCACAAGCACAAAGCCGAAAACATCAGCCTGAAGATGGCGAGTGGGACCTCGCCAAAATGTTGCCAAGACAATCTCAATCCTACACAGGAAAAGACCCGAATACAACAAGACCAGTGTGTGTGTGTGTGTACACACACGCCTTATAACAAGGGTTTGGTTTGATCTGCTCAAAATGCAACTATAATAGAATACAGGTGGTCCTTGACTTACGACCACAATTGAGCCCAGCATTTCTGTTAAGTGAGACGTTTAAGTGAGTTTTGCCCCATTTTACAACCGTTCTTCCCTCAGTGGTTAAATGAATCAAGGCAGTTGGTAAGTTAGTAACCTGGTTGATAAGTGAATCTGGCTTTGCCAGACTTCGTTTTTGAGAACGTCACCCAAGGAGATCACATGACCTTGTGACACAACAACAGTCATAAACATGGACCAGTTGCCGGGCATCTGAGTTTTTGATCACATGATCATGGGGAGGGAACACTGAGAACATTCGAATGTAAATCATGTGACGAGAGGGATGCTGAAATGGTCAGAAAAGGGCCTGTCACTTTTTTCAGTCCTGTTGTAACTTTGAATAGTTATTAAACAAACTCTTGTAAGTCAAGGTAGTCCGGTAAACCCTCACAAACCATAGATGTTATTTTTCATTACCATCTGCCTTCAGGAGCAGGGCGCCATCCAGATTTGGGAAGGATGTTTGTAAAGAAGAGCGTGAGGAAAACAAGCAGTTCAAAGAGGAATCCAAAGGCAGCATTTTAGTCCAAGGAGGGAATGACGGTTCGGAAGACGAACGCTCCGCATCCCGAGGAGCCGGGATGGTCCTTTTTTTCTGATGATCTAAATGCTGCGTTAAGACCTCAGAAGGGAAAATGGTGCCTCCCAGGATGCCCATCACTTCAAGCAAGGTGAGGTAGCCAAGGTGATCAGGGGGTTCAAGAAGCTGAAAGGAGACAAATCAAAGATGACCGGAATAAGGCTAATCATAATGGGTAGGACAGCGCAACATGCAAGACTACCATATTTTTTGGAGTATAAGACGCACATTCCCCCCTCCCAAAGAGGGTGAAAATCTGGATGTGTCTTATACACTGAACACAGCATTTTTGGCCTCCTGAAACCCTGCCCCCTTTACAAAAATAGACCTGCAGAAGCTTTAGGAAGCTTGTAGGGGGCTGAAGATGGCAACGATGAGCTAAAAATGGGCCATTTTTTGCTCATTTTTGTCGTCCCCCCCGGGCCCCCAGGAGCACTTTGCAGGCCTCTCAAACCCTCTGCATGCCCCACTTTTCACAAAAAAAATGAGGCGTGCAGAGGGTTTGGAAGGTCTGCAGAGTGCAAAAACTTTTAAAAAAAATTTACCTCTTCAAAGTCTTGGTGCATCTTAATACTCTGAAAAATACGGGTAGGTTAACATTGAGCTGCACAATTGGTGCTCAGCTTACTGTGACATTTGAACCACATCATTATGCTGAGCTGCAATATGGTTTCTTCACTTGAGCACCGCATGTTACAACGAACCACCAAGTCATTTCAATGAGCAGCAAATAAATGTAATCAATAAATAAAAAGGAATTCAGCATTCCAATAATGATCCCCACCTAAGGCTGCTGGAAGCTTCTTTTCAATAACAGAGGATCTTCTCCGTGTTCCCCAGGAATACTGAATCTTTGCAAAAGGGAGAACGCTGTTTCTACAATAGCATCTAAGCCAGGGATTTAACAGATTTAACAGAGTTGAAAGGGACCTTGCAAGTCATCTAGTCAATCCCCTGCCCAAGTAGGAGACCCTACATCTGCCTCTACCTCTGGATTGTGAGGCAAGAGCTCCACCACTAGGGTCAAACTCGATTTCATTCAGAGCCGCAGCAAGTTTGTGTTTGACATCGGGATGGGGGGTTGAGGCGGGGCTGGTTAGGCCTGGCCAGGGTAGGCGTGGCCAGCTCAACGTCACTTGTGTCAGGGGTGCCTATGGTGGCCCGAGCGCTCTGCCAGTGAAAACAGCCTTGCGAGCTACATTTTTGGCTGCGACGGCCTCCTGCAACCCTCTGCCAGTGAAAACGGGGCATGGGGGGAGCCACCCACGGCCCTCGACCCTGTTTTTGCTGGCAGAGGCACTGTGGGCCAGTCCTTCACTGTTTCCAGGGCAGCCCTGCAAGGGTTTGAATGCAAGGGTTTCACAAGACTAAAACATTATTTCAAGGATTCCTCCAAGGAAACAATGTTGAGAAAGGCACAAATATTTATACAAGGATTATGCAGTTAGTCTTTTCTGTTCATTTGGTAGAAAGAAGAGCTGTTAGGCATAGACCAGTTTGCATAATTCGTGAAGAGGTGGTCAGCATGTCTGAAAACCTTAGGATCAGAAACACCTATACAGGAAGCCCTCGACTTACAACTGAATTTGATCAATCAGTCATAAAACCCAGTAGATGAACATGGAATCATTTGTTCTATTACAGCTCAAGTAGTACAAATAAAACAGTAAGCAAAGTACATATGATTTTTGAAGGAAGGAAAAATTTCCTGACAGCCTGAATCAGTGGAACAACTTGCCTCCAGAAGTTGTGAATGCTCCAACACTGGACATTTTTAAGATGTTGGACAACCATTTGCCTGAAATGGTATAGGGTTTCCTGCCCAAGCAGGGGGTTGGACTAGAAGATCTCCAAGGTCTCCTACTCTGCTACTCTATATTCTAAAATGAATGCAGCGATATAGCAAACTAGACAATAATCTGAGATTTTTTTTTTACCTTGGACCATTC